TCAATATTAATATTCTGGTTCTATATAGAAATTCAGCTTTCACTGTCTGACATTTAATTGTAGAACTTCAGGAAGTCCTTACTTCTGAGTTAGGCAATCAAAATGTGCTAATTGTTGGAGAGTTTAACATTTGTTTAATGTCTACAGGGACTGTAATAAGAAATCTGCTCCAAGAAAAAAACTTTAGTTCCCTGCTTGGTGCAGACTATTCAACTACACCTGCCGGTACACAAATTGATTGGGCATTTTCAAACATGGATCCTTCCCATGTTAATGCAATTACTTTTGAGATAGTACACAGCTATCATGACAGTATTTGTGTCTCTATTGCCAACTAAAGTTTTCAGACTTATTGCAATAGTTCTTCAAAAAAAAAACTTTTAGTACACAAATTGATTGGGCATTTTCAAACATGGAATGCATTAATGCAATTACTTTTAAGACAGTAAAGTTTTCAGACTTATTGCAATAGTTCTTCATTTTTTTTCAAATATATATTAAGAAATGGTATAGCAATTTTGACAGTAGTTTTTAAGACAATTTTAAGAAAAATATGTAAATAATCTAATTAAGAAAATTTAAATTAGATATATAATATGTTATTATATAAGACATTATTGTATAAATACATGATAGAAATTAAATAGTATAAGGAGAAAAGAAATATAATTTGGATATATGTATAAGAATCTATATAAACATTTATATTTAATATTGTTAATATTATATACAAATTAATATAATAATATAATTTTTAAAGTTGTTAATAATTATTATTTTTAAGCTAAACATGTATAATAATATCGATATAATAAATAAAAAATGTTATGCATTGTCCAAAAACGATTACTTTTCATACTTCTCAATACAGTTGTAATGCATTCTATATAAAATTAATTATAAGCGTATACAAAAAGCACAAGAACGTTTTCTCATAATTTGAGTAAATTTAGTTTACAAATTGCTCTAATTATTTTCACTGTGAATGTAAATAACTAAGGCAACAGTTCCTACTTCTAATTATTAAAATATATAAAGAAATCCCAAACAAGTTTACAATTTAACTTTGCGAGAGTATAAATTGTTCGGTTACATCCGAACTTAGCCATCCAACATAAATTTTTGCCAGTTTTTGAAAGAATTTCCCACGCTTTGATTGACACATTCATAGTTTGGAAAAAAATACCTTTACCTGTTCACTGAATGACTCTGGCGAACCAAACGCTTCTAGTTTTATTAACCACAAATTTATAACAATATGTAATAGAAATATTGAATTTTCACCACCAAACCAAGATACCACCTAAGAAATGCATTTTTATATCGAAGATGGGAATTACATGAACAGAAAAATGATGGGATGGTATGGCATCATTGTATTATGTTTCTATCAACATCGACTTTACGTAAATACTTATAAATCTTTCCTACTATTACCTTCTGCTCAACGCAAAACGAGACTTTATCCATAACTCGACAAGGACATGACATATGGCCATACTTTTTTTTGCTTAGGTTATATGTTTACATGTCAAATTTGAGTGCGATCTGTCACATAGTTTTTTTAAGGCACTATAAACAAGTCAACCTCGAGTGTGTTTTTCGAATTTTACTATGGAAATTAACGTTGAGCAAAAAGTGTTTGTTTGAAATTTTGTTATTCCAATGGAATAAGTGCGACGGACGCAATGAAAATGTTACAGAAGGCATATGGGGAGTCTTGCCTATCACGTGCACGTATTTTTGATTGGTATAAGTCGTTCAAGGACGGCCGTACATCGCTGGAGAACTTGCCCCATGATCGTCGTCCAGCAACGTCAATAAACGAAGAAAACGTCGAAAAAGTAAATAAAATTGTGTTGGAAAATCGTCGTGTGACTGAAAGAGAGATAGCTAGTGAGCTCAACATATCAAATGGATTCGCTCATAGCATTATTCACGATGTTTTGGGCATGAGACGTGTGTCTGCTCGACTTGTTCCAAAATCCAGCTCATACGTCTCGTCTTGTACGCGATTATTTGAAAATATTGTTCCGCAAGCACCGTATTCACCCGACATGGCACCGTGTGACTTTTTTCTTTTCCCTAAACTCAAATTGCCGCTTCGTGGAAAGCATTTTCAGTCGATTGAAGTCATTAAAGAGAATTCGAAGAAGGAACTGAAAGCCATACCTAAAGCGGCCAACCAGAAGTGTTAGGAAGATTGGAAAAAAAGGTGGCATATGTGTATCGCCTCTAATGGTGACTATTTTGAAGGGGATAAAATAAATATTGAAGAATAATTAACCGTTTTTGTTGTTTGAGCCAGTCTCGTTTATATTTGAGCAGAAGGTATATATTATATAAATATTATTGTCACAATTAAGTTCTGTCGTTAATAACTCTATGTAGTAATAATATATTTAATCGGAACTAAGTGTGGGTGAGTGCCAAGTTCTGAGTTCTTCAAAACTAATTCATATACTTAAAGTAAAGTTTATAATGTGTATATTTAAAAACTAATTTGGTTCTACAAAATACTGATTTCGAATCAAATACGGGAAAATAAATTATGTGGTCAATATTGAAACATTATTTCTTTTCACGATTGAAAGTCTTGGTTGTTTTAGCAGAGCTTCGGGCATATTACCATATGTCTACTGCATCATTCGGGGATACTGCGACTGCATCTAATGAATACACAATCCTCAACCTAAGTAAGTCATTTCACACGACTTCATGACGCTTATAGAAGGCTTATTGACAGACCCATATCTCGAAAAGATTTGGTTTCAAAATTTTGTCCAGTTCAGTTCAGTTTTACATGATGTATGGCTTGTTACAATGACGAGGGTTCTGAAAGACTTGCATGTAGCATTAATCATTGACGCTGAAGAACCATTTACGTGCACGTCAATATAAAAGGGTGAATATTCGCTGACAGGTTCGACGCCTTTATAAGTTTGGTGCAAGGCCACAAGTATTTGAAAAAATTAAATTTACTTATGTGTTGTTTGGAAAGGCGTTCCTCTAGGAAATTCTACATCTCGAAAGCTTCCTCTTCAGCCGAATGCATATAGCTAAAGTTGATTTTGCATCGAAACCATAATCACCTTCGTTAGCTTCTTAATAATTATTTTCTAATCTTTACGATAATACAAGGTCTCACCGACCTATCTCTACTATCTAATGTATAAGCAATTGTTATATTTTTAAATAATTGATGTTATGATTTAGTGTAAATAACTCTATTAACACGTCGTAAATAGACAACCGTGAGAGTGTGGCCAAACCTTGAATAAAAGTTCAACTTAAACTGACATTCAGATTTCAAACACTCTCTGGCATACAGTCAGTCAGGTATCAAAATAATCACTAGATTAATATTAGCAGTTTAATTTCTTTGAAAAGATGAAAAGACAAAAGCATCCCTCGGACATTTACTATAAAATACTTTCGGTTATACGATTTTGTTCCCGAACTATCGGTGTGGATATTATCGCTGAGGATTATAAAATCAATCCAAACACATGTTTTGTTATTGCCGCAATTGTCGCTTATTACCTCTTTGCCGTGCATATGGTTGGAAAATATGTTCTGAAAGATTGGACGGTGCTGCTTGATGTCTTCTCACCGGTGAGCTGTACTACACAAGGAGCAGTAAAATTGATGTCAGCACTTTTGTATCCACAACTGTATCGAAAATTAGCTATGAACATCGGGCAAATTTATGAGAAATATCAACAGATGGGAAGAGAGTATGAGAAAAAATTACTCGAATGGAATAAGAACATGAAAAAAATTTTAATTGCATGCGCAGTAGTGTATTCCCTCACTGCGCTGCTAATTTTATCCACACCCATTGTGATGTATATACTTAAGGGCGAACGTCATCTGATATTGCTTTGCCAAGTGCCCGGTTTCGAAGTGGACTCGTATTATGGTTATTGGGTGAATAATGCCTTCAGTTTAATATGTGTTATGATTGCCGCTTTCGGTTTATACGCCGGTGATTTGTATTTACTTCTGTTTTTAACACACTCAATATTTTTTTACGATATATTAGCACTAAAAATAAATGATTTACACAAATTGATAGAAGATGATGACAAGGAAGAACGTCAAACTAAATTAGTTAACGATATTGTAGAGTGGCATCAGTATTACTTGGAGTGAGTAATCATAATATACTACATACATTTCTAATTGCCCTAAGCCTAAGCATATTTGAATCTACCATAGATTTAATGATAAGTGCAATTTGCTTTTCTTTTGGACCATCTCCGCACACATTATATGCACCACGATGGGTATCTTGAGTACACTGCTCATCATCATGCTGAAGGATTGGCCGGGTGCTTATTCCTATCTTTTGTTTTTCTGGCTATATATGTATTGCATACTTGGCACACTAGTAATATATTAATAAATATGGGCTCATTAATCAATATATTTTAAATACTATTATGTTAACTATTTTCCTTAGAACAGTCAATTTTGTACTGGGGTTACGACATCAACTGGTATCCTTAGATTGCATAATCAAAATACTATTCGCTTATGCTAATGCAGTCGAAGACCACGAAATATAACCATCGCGGGAGTTGAACCATTTCGTTAACGACCCTCAAGGTGAGTAAAAAATATTTTAAATGAAATATATTTTAATTACAATTTTCAGATAACGAACAATTTACAGTTTGGCATGATGGTCTACGTTTCAAACTAAATAAAGATGAAATATTTGTAGAAAAGGACGAAAAATGTGTGGACATGGGATTTATAGTACTTACACAGATTAACATAAGTATAATCATTAAATGTCTAGCAGAACATTTGAGGGCCTACATTAATTACAAGTTCAAGATCAACAGATAAAAAAATAAAAATGAGTTATAATTAGTTTGGTTCACTATGAAGTTCCTTTATTGATTCTATTATAACAACAACTATCAAATTTTCACTTAAAATGAACTATTACACCCTGAACATTGTATATTGCCATGGGCCTGTTTTCAATGTATATGGTATATACGAACTAAACCCTCAGATTTTGAGATATACATCCGAAATTTGCACCTGCCGTTTTCTTATCAAAAGCTGCTGATTTATTTTCGAACAATTCGATATCAGACCACCTAAGATGATATCAAGAAATATCTAACCTAGGGCCCTAGCCTCAATGAATCGTTGAACAATTCTCTCCATACACGTCACATTTAAATCAGAGATACAGGTGAAATCCAACAAATGAAATAACCCCTATCCTAGCTATGAAACTTTGGAAACATTTGGTCTCTTGACAGAGGCAACATGATGGCGATAAAGTACCTTTACTCTCCAAATCTTCGGTTGCTATTCGCTATGGCCGGACCTATTAGTCTTACAAGCAATAAATCCTGCCATTAATAGTAGCCCTTAACTATTCGAGCCATATTAATGATATTAAGGCAGGTGCTGATGCATAATTTACAATAGACTCCTTCACTAATCTTCTTCCCTCATATTTCCTCGCGGTATGGCAATGAAACCCGCTTTGGTTCATCGAGGTAATCCATGAACAAGAATAAATCAAACCGTGCGAAGATTCAGAATACAGCTTCTCAGAGTCTGATAAACTTTGACCATACATCGTTCTGCTCGTTAGGCATGATTAGCCGTTTCCCTAAACATCCCAGATGTGAAAGCGCCATCACTGAACGCTCTCGTCTCAAGTGCTTTCGTAAGAGTAGCTTTTTCTAAGGCTTTCTACAACAAACCAAGACCCCATAAAACGTAATTGGCTAAACTGTGGTATCATAACCCTTGGACCACTTATGTTGAAAGACCGCTTCTTTTTGCAATTGCTCCTCTACAATAATAGGCAATCGATGCCCTTCAGTTGGGCTCTATATGTTAAAGTGACGCCTCCAGCGTAATCCGAGTAAATTTTATACATATGTGTTTTAATATTACAGCTCGTAACACTTCTGCATGGGAACTTTCTCCATTAAAGCTTTGAGGTTAGGCTCGCTAGGCAACGAAATACCTGGAAGTCAGATTTCACATACACTCATATACAGATAAGACTTTTCCTCACAATTTTCTTTTAAAACCGTAATTAATAAATAGTCTTTAAAATTAATTAAAACTACGAAGCGTTAATGACTCTATTACATGTCGAAAAATGCAAAAGACATGCGTGGAATGTGACCAACGTATTTTGTCATACCTATTGATTTAAGCGTTTTATTCAGTAAGCACTTTAATTTCAAGAATATTGGACAACGTAGATATTTCCCTTAAGAAATTTATTGCAAAATGCAAACTAAAACGCGTCCTTAGACAACTTTTAAAATTGCTAAAAATAATTCGCTGCTCCAGCTAGTCGGTATGGTTGATATCGATGAGAACTATAAATTTAATTATGTTGTCGGTTTTGTTTGATGGCGATTGTGATTTTATGATCTCAATATATACGATTTGCAAGATGTCAAAACCGTGGACCGTTCTGTTGGATGTATTTTCACCGATCAGCTCCACTCAAGGCGTTGTCAAAATAATTTCATTGCTCTTGTATCCAAATTATATGTAGACGCCATGGACCTTGTGGAAATTACAAAAATACCAAGCGTTAGGATCAAAATGAGAGAAATTGGAATGGAACCAAAGCATGAAGAACATTCTCATCATTGTTGTGGTATATTTCGTGTCTGCTTGCTTGCTGGTCACGCCCATCTTTTATATATATTTAAGGGTGAAAGGCATCTAATATATGTTCAGATGCCGTATGTCGATGTAAACACAGATCATGGCTTTCATTACGATTGGTTATAATATACTATTGTTTTCGTAGCGGCGTTCGGTTTGTATGGTGCTGACTTGTACGTCTTTCTTTCTAACACATATTCTTTACGATATTTTCGCACTTAAAGTCGGTGATCTACATGAAGTATTGCGGAGAATGAAGACGTATAGGACTGGTTAATGACATTGCAGGATGGCATCAGTACTACTGGAGTGAGTTTTCTCAAAACCTAAATCACTTTTAAAAAGAGCATAGATACATATTTATGTTATTTGTTAACGATAAATAACCTAATTTTCTTCTGGACCAACCTCACATATGCTCCACATTGGGATATTGAGCACGTTGCTATATGCTACTTGTGGTGCTTATCCCTATATTTTGTCTGTTTCGTTTGGTTATATATGTATAGTATTTGGAACGTTGTGGAAATATGTGTGGTATATATAAATAGAAAGAAGTTAAAAAATACTTTTCAGTTGTGTTCTCGCAGAATGATCAATTTTGCGATGGAATTTATGATATTAACTGGTATGATCTGGATGTTAGCGATCAGAAGACCGTAAGCCTAATGCTTATGGAGTCTCAGGTGCCACGCATTATAACCATAGCGGGTATTGAGCCATTGTCAGTAAATACTGCACTTAAAGTAAATTTTACTACGAAATAAAATATATACAAAAATACACTCGAGTAATATAAAATCTTGGATGTATTTTTAGATCACACGCTCAATCTACAGTTTAGTTATGATGGTCATGCAGTTCAACGAATGAAGCTAAGCTGCTGAAAACAGCATAACAAATCTTAAAGTAAATAGTGGTTTATTTCGAAACACAGTTTCTCAAATATATTATTATAGCTCCAATTATTTTGCTTTTTTCAATATGGTGGATCCTTGAGTTTATTAGCAGTTTCCTTAAACTGTCCTAGATCCTTTTTAAAGTAATGGGCTTTGAAGTAACACGTTAGGTCTAGTAAAACCTGCAACATAGGACGTACCACAAAAGTAGGAAGGTAGCAATAAATGTTTTGTAGAGCATATCACAGTTATCTTATCCCTTAGATCTCACGTTTAGAAACTTGGTAAAGTGGAACTTCATCTTTCTTTGCGAACGTCCAGCCTTCAACTGGTTCAGACAGATTATCTTCCACTGCTTCCAATTACTCCCATTTAAAAGACATTGGGCAGCTAGAATGTAAAAGCTTAGAATAAAGTTCTATCATATGCGAACATCATAAAGAATATTTGTACTTATAAAACAATCACCCATCTTGAAATCCATCATTAATTATTGGATAATATTCCATCGAATAGACCACGTCCAGCACGCAAGGAAAAAAATAGACCGTGGAGAGTCGATCGATGCCGTTCGCAGTCTGACTGACGTATGGAACGACTTGGCGCATTTTACGTTGAGATCTTAAATTGAAAGAGTACAAAATGCAGCTGGTGCAAGAACTGAAGCCGCTCAACCTTGCCAAACGACATCGCTTCGCTCTATGGGCTCTTGAAAAGTTCCAAGAAGTTTTCGACCGAAATTTCGTTCAGCGATGAGGTCCATTTCTAGCTCAATGAGTATGTAAACAAGCAAAATTGCGGCATTTGGAACGAAGAGCAACCTGAAGAGATTCAAGAGCTGCCATTTCATCCAAAATAAACACAACGATAGTTCTTCAAAAATTATGCCGATGAGAACGTAACCGTCAATGGCGATCTTCATCGCGCCATGATAACCGACTATTTGATACCTGAAATTTAAGCTCGTGATCTCGGCGACATTTGGTTTCAACAGAGAACACTTCGGTGAGGAGATAACTTCGCATTCCGTGTCGGTCAATTGGCCACCAAGATCGGGTGATATCACACCGTTAGACTTTTTCCTGTAGAGATATGTAAAGTCTGAAGTCTATGCAGACAATCTTGCTTCGATTCAAGCCTTGGAGAAAAACAACACGCGTGTCATTCGCCAGTTACCAGTCGAAATACTCGATCGAGTCAGCGAAAATTGGACTCAACGGATGGACATAGATAATCTTTAAAAAATAAATGACGAATAATGTTCTTGCGATTGATAATAAACATTCCTCACTAAGTTTGATTTTCTGTATTTTTTTCTTTGTTTAAGTAGGGAACCTCGAAATGAATCACCCTTTACAATACACGAGCGCATGAATATATGTGAATATACGTATTTATATATATACAAATATATGTATATACAAGTATATAAGTTGGTACGGGTGGTAGAAAAACTTCATGGGGATTATTTAATATTTCTTTTGTTTACATTTCTTGTGCTGAAGTAGTTTTTATTCATTAAAGTTACACATGTATACGCCACGACGATGTATGTACCTATGTCTTGGCAATACCTTTCACTTATCC